CACCATCTGAGGCCAGTGCTACCACAGACAGCGAAACTGGGCCAGAACAATGGCAACAGGAAAATTAGGGTTCAGTCCCTTGGAATATTGGATGTAACAATCCTAAATGAAATCTGTAAAATATATGCATATGTACCTGTGCATGTTTATTAATAGATAGATTTTAGTTCAGAAAGGTAAAGATGGATTAAAATTTTTAGAAAAACACTTCATCTGCTCATAATAAAAGTTCTTAAAAGTGTGGAAAAAAAATTTCTCATCTGGATAACTGATATTCATCAAATACAGCAAACAGTTTGCTTAATAATGAAGCACTTTTTTCAATTTTTAATGTGCCCATCATTTCATAAAGTCAGTGTTTTTTTGGAAGCCTCAAACACTAATACAAAAAAGCAAATTGACATAAATATTGGAATAATATGGCAGTTTTTGTAGAAGATGCAGTCATCTTCTCCTGAAACATCAGAGCAAAGGCATCAGGAGTAATAACTAAGGGATTAACCAGGTGCCTGGATATAAGATAAACACACAATCCCAGAGTTCCACTTTATTTCTCAATGACCAGTTAGCAAACCATTTTTAAGGACTATATATTTTTTGTTTACTAATTTTATTGGTACAGTTAGTTGCACAATATGCTGACATTCTTCTTGGGAATTTGTACCTTAAAGGACCATATCTATAATGGCAACAGAAACTATCTTGAAAGGCTTGGGTAAGCTGAATCTTTAAATAGGAAATCTATATTACATTATTGATAAATGTAAAAGACCAGAATAAAAAGATATTCCATATTCATGATTAACAAGATTTAACATTGTAAAAATGTTATCTTTTTACATTTATCTGTGAATTCAATAGAAGTCCCAACAAAAGGCAGAGTAGAGGTTTTGAAGAAGTGCTATGATTAATGTAGAATTGGATGGAAGAGAAATGGCACACAGAAGGCTACAACAGTGATGAAGAGAAGGTGACAGAGGGATGTTTGTCACATCAGCTGTCAGGGCGGTCGACGACCACACTCTCAAGCTCCAATATGGCGAGTTTCCTTGTTTGATTTTTATGTGTTCTTGCTGGCACCCAGGTTCATTAACTTATGGGCAACTAGGAAGCATTGTGCCTCCAGCCAGTGAGGCTCTGTGTGGAATCCAGCCATTCCTGCAGTGTACCAGCTCAGGCAGTGGTCACTAGTCCTGAAACCACACTAGACCCAGCTGAAGCCTTCAGAGGGTATGGACACACAAAAGACACCTGATCCACCTCTCTCCAACCTGTGCAGTTGGCCCCTAGCTCCTTAGTGGGGCTCAGACAGGACCACAGATGCCCCTGATCACCCGCCTGGGTGAGCAGTAGCCATGACCCTGGAATGGTGGGGACAGTAGAAGCTGTTTCCCAGTTCCACAGAGCCTGGACTTCCAGACCCAGCCCTCCTTCAGGGAGTCCTGTTCCTTTGCTCTAGCATCCTCTCATACCCAATCTCTACCTGTACCCAGAGAGATCTTTGTGAAAGACCAGACAGCCCAGGTCACCTCCTGGACTAAACCCTCTAATTTTCCACTTTCTCCAGAATGGAATCTAAAGTCCTTCCCTTTGTGTCTTAGTTCACTTATTGTAATAACTGAATACCACAGTCTGGGAAAGGAGGAGGGGGAGGGGGAGGGGAGGGAGAGGAGGAGGAGGAACAAGAAGAAGAACAACAAGAAGAACAAGAAAAGGAGGAATAAAAAGGAGAAGGAGGGAAGAGGAAGAAGAGAAGGAGGAAGAAAAAGGAGGAGGCAGAGAAAGAGGAGGAGGAAGGAGGAGAAGGAGGAAGAAGGGGGAAAAAGAAGGAGAAAAAGGAAGGGAGGAGCCTATTTAGCTTCCAATCTACAAGTCCAAGAGCACCTCACCAGCATCTTCTGGGCCTTGTTTCTGGATCACAACAGACAGGGGGCAGCACGTGGAGAGGCAGAACAGGCACACCAGAAGGATCTGCTTCATAACACAGCCACTCCTGCCAGGGCTAAGCCACGGATCCTCTCATCCTTCAGTCCGAGAGTGAGTTGATCCATGTGTGAAGGCAGTCCTGGGACCCAGTCACCGCCCTCTCAATGCCCCATCTGGCCCCACTCCTTACTGCCCTACCCTGGAATCAGACTGCAGCATGAGGCTGGAAGGCCTTCACACCCCAGCACTTGGCACCCAGGCCTCTCGCCCAGGCAGTGGCCATCGTGCTCACTCTTCATGGCTACCCTGGCTTCTTACTTACTGCTGTGGGACTCTCTTGGCTTTGTCCAGCTTCAGAACCTTTGCGCTTGCTCTTCCTCCAGCCAAACACTGTTCCCCACAGTGCTCCTTGCAGTCTCCAGCCTTGCATGGCAGACTCGGCTGGTGTCCGACTTGGACTTCATTTCTTCGTGGTCCTTGTCACTCTCTGGTGGAGCATTTCACACCTGAGGACCTAAGCTCCATGAAAAGGTCCCAGCCTGCTGCGCGGCTGCAACCCTACGGTCCCTGCCCAGCGTCTACACGTGGAGGTGTCGCGTTGGAAAGTGTCTGTTGAATGAATGAATGAATGCCTAGTGATCTAAGGCAAATAGATCTAAGAAACAGAATATGAGAATATTTTCCTCTATGCTTTTAAATTCTTGATACCACAAAATTTTAAACTATATAATTTAAAAAATGAAATTTTCTAGGCAAACAAACATTTTCTTACTGAAACTTCTAGAAATGGTGCTCTTGGATCTAATAATGGCAGATATTGGGATATCTAAGCCCCTGCTGAGTGTCCTGAAGGATCAGGTTGGGGAGGACAGGGAGCAGCCTGGCGGGCACCGCACTGGGCAGTGGCCTCCAATGGAGAGCCATCCCCGTCCTGCGGGCCTCGTTCCTGTCTCCTCTCCATGAAGGAATGGCGCCTCACCTCACTCTTGCTCAACCAGGACAGCACAGTGGCTCCCTAAGAGGTCCAGTGTGTGAGCAGTGTGTGAGACTCCTCTGAGTCACAGCCCCGCTATTGTCCCTGGCCCAGTGCTCCACTCCCACCCACACCCACCTTCCTAGCATTGTCTCTCACCCTCCCCATCTCCCACTGCCCCCCAAGGAAGCCTCGAGCTGCAGCCTGGCTGCCAGCACAACTAGCCAGCCATCTTCCTCCAGGGGCTAAATGTGCCTTCAGAGCAAGGGCAGTTCCTCCATCCCTGTCCCCAGCACCAAGCCTAGTGCCTGTCACAAGTAGGTGCTCAGTGAACATCTGGGAACTCATGATCTAGGGACACAATAACACGCTCCCTCTGCCTGGCCTTTACCCAACAGTCAGAAGCAGCAGAGGGTAGACAAGGAGAGGGCACAGCCTGTCTCTGACCCCAGGCACTATGCAGGCATCATGGGGTGCTGGAGTTCTTGTCCCCAGCCTGACAGTGACCCCCTAGTCCCTCCTTCCCCCTGGGCCTCCCTGTGCTCTTCCACTGAGTAAGGGGAATGATACAGGCCTAATACTCAGAGATCTAAGATGCAGGTCCCAGTGCCCTGACACATTCTGTAAATGTGGGATTCTATTACATGACTCCATGGTTGCATTCCACAAATCCATAAGAAACATCGCAAAGTCCTGTGGTGTCACATGTTATTCTACAATTGCTTGACAGCATCTCACACTCTGTGTGCTAGCTCCTCAGCCCTTAGGAAGCCCGAATGCACTTTTAAAAAGTGAATTCAGCATTGTATCCATTTTCTGTTCAGAAACAGAAGAAAAAAATTAAACATCACCCTAAAACGTATTGGGTCAAAAGCAGCAAACGTTTCAATCTCATGTTCCATAGGTTGGCTAGGCTCAGCTGAGCGGTTCTTCTACCCCATGTGAGCTCAGGCATCTGCAGAGGAATGCCCAGGGGGCCCCAGGGGCTCTCATGTGGCCACCCACTGGGGCTGACTGTCTCTGGGAACCTGGCTGGGCTTATTGGCCAGATCATTTCAGTTTCCCCCCAGGGTCTCTGCCTGAGTGTTGGGATCCACCTGTTCTCTCAGTGCCTGGACATGGAGGTCCTGGAGCATGGATGCAATGAGGGACTCCAGGAGCAAACTCCCAGCAGGGAGTGTCAGTGTAGACTGGAGCACAGAGACAGCTGGGAGGACATGTCACATGCCATCAGACACGGCAAGCCCTGACAGATGTGCATCAGTCAGCATCCCGTCACTGTGGCAAATTACCCGAGGTGATCGGTTCACAAGAGCAAAGCTTTATTCTAGCTCTGGTTTCAGAGGTTTCAGTCCATGGCCACAGGACTTGCTGCTTTAGGCCTGGAGCAGCATGTATGTCATGGTGCAGGTGCAGGGGTACAGGAGTCTGCTCACCTCAAAGCAGCCAGGAAGCAAAAGAGGAAAAGGCTGGATCTCAATATGCACTTTGAGGTCATGCTCTTGGTGAGCTCACTTCCTCCTGCTGGCCCCTCCCCCTAAAGAGCTCAACATTCCCCAGTAGAGCCTCAGGCTGGGGACAAAGCCTTTAACATGTGAGCCTTTGGAGGCATTCCGGGTACAAATGATAGCCATGTGGAATCACAGCAGCTGCTGAAGACAGCTTAAGGCACATGTTGGAGCCCAGCACTAGTGACAGCACACCTGTGATCCCTCTCAGAGGCTGAGGCAGGAAGATTGTGAGTTAGGGCCCAGCCTGAGCTACTTAGAGAGACCTTGCTGCTAAATAAAAAATAAAAAGAGCCAGGACATACTCAGTTTGGAGACACTGGGTTATATCCCCAGTACCAGAAATAAACGTTTGCCTGCCAGGCATTTATTTACTTTCTTACTTTTGCTACTTTCCCCACGCAGAGGATACTAAGACCCCGAAGATGTACAGGAGGCGTGAGAAGTGAAAGCCTTTCCCCATTTCCCCGAAGTTCCGTAGCTTAGGCAACATCAGCACCTCTCTCTGGACCTCCGCTTGCTCTTCTGCAACACAGGCATTGGTCTGGAGGATGCTGAGGGCCTCCTCCCTAACCTGTCACCTGTGCTCCTAGGTACTCCTTCCAGGACGAGGAGGACATGTTCATGGTGGTGGACCTGCTGCTGGGCGGGGACCTTCGCTACCACCTGCAGCAGAACGTGCACTTCACAGAGGGCGCTGTGAAGCTCTACATCTGCGAGCTGGCGCTGGCCCTGGAGTACCTGCAGAAGTACCACATCATCCACAGGTACCAATGCGCGGACACCAGGCACAGGGCTCGCGGGGTGCTAGGTGCAGTGCGGGGAAGATTTCTTCGCTGACACTGTCTGGAAGTGGCTGTGCCTGGGGACAATAAAAAGCAGAACAGCTTTCTTATTGCTTTTACGTTCTCTGCAGACATCCAGCCACCTTCCTGCCTGGGTGAAGGGGAACTGCCGGGCTGGGCAGGGCTGGGCTTGGCTATGGCTTCTCCACCCCAGTGTGTCTGGGATGTGCTGTCCCTCCTGTCCCAGGTCAGCAGGATTACGGTGACGTTATCCCACTCGTGAGTTGGGAGCGTGAGCGTTGCTCTTCTCTTCCTTCCCATCCTTTCAAGGATGTTGCACACTGTGGAGGATTTGTTCTGCTTGAAGCCTCAGTGCTGATACTAGGATTGGATAAACGCTTTGGCAGCCACTCCTCAGGGTCTGTGCCTGTCTTCCTGCCTGTGCCCAGAAGTGTGTTGCCCAACACGGGTGAGGAAGACAAGTTGGCCACAGAGCATCAGCTTAGCAAGAGGCCTCGGAGAGCTGTGGCTTCATCTTAAGGTCTTTCCCCCGGCTGCAGGCAGGGCTGGGACAAAGAGCTCCAAAAGTGTTCACCCGTGGTCTTGCATTGTGTCCACCTGACCTGCTTCTAACATAAATTTTTGGAAGACTTGGAAAAGATACGGACGTAAACTTCTAGGTGAAGAAGGCAGATTAAGCACGCACACGTGCACACACACACACACACACACACACACACACCCCTCTGTATTTTCTCCCTTCTAAAATCCTAATGAAATTGTTCAAAAAATGTTAGATTCATAAGGATGGAAATGCAGAATAGTAACTACTGTATATTAGGAGATGGAAAGGGATGCAGAGGCATGAATGGCTTAGGGCACCATCAATTGAGTTTTAAATTGTCGTTGGGGGAGCCAAGACTGACAGACACTAGAGAAACCTCAAAGGTTCACAGATGGGCAGCCGTTTCTGTGGAAGGAGGAAGGTGATAAACAGGCTACAATCAGGGGAATTGGTTGAAAACCTCTAAGAAGTCCCAAAAGCCCAGGCTTCTTTCTCTGCTCAGCATCACCACTGTCACTGGCTGCTGCTCTGTGTCCAGGAAGGAGCCTGAAAGTTGGTCCCTAAGGAGAGTTCCAGAGCATCCGGGCTGACGGCCAGCATCACCGGCTGGCCCGAGATACTGCACCGGAAGCAGCAAGGCCATTTAAACCTATATATATATCAGCTGCTGGGATAACACCTCCCCATCCCGACTAGGATCAGAATGGTGCCTGTGAGCCTGCATCCTCCAGGGAAAACAAAAGCTCTTTCATAGGAATGAGATGGAGCCAGGAGCAAAAGATTACGATGCCAGCGGCTGCCCATGACAACTTAGCATGTACCTAAGAGGGCACAAGCCCCACACATTCAGTACCCTTCCAGCTGGGTGGGTAACAACCAAGGACCATCAGACATCCAGGGAGTCTAACATCCAGGTCCAAGCAATCAAATAGGAAGAAAGAGCTAGAAATAAACAGAAGTTTGGAAAACATTAAAATAAACATGATCGGTATTTTCAGAGGGATAAGAGAAGACTTTTGCAAACGTAAAATAAGAAAAGGTACTTTCTTTAATTTAGAAAATAAACAGCTCTTATAAATTAAAAGTGCAAAAGCAGAAATAAAAAACTCCAAAACTATGATGAAAGATAAAGTTTCTTGACTCTTCCACAAAACACAAGAAAAAGTATGAGAGAAAAGATAAGGAATTAGGGTCACCATGCAAAAATTTTAACAATAGCATGAGAGAAGACATAGAGGAAGAAACCACTAGTGAAATAATTAAAGAAAATCTCCCCAACCTGAAATATGCGATCATCCAGATTGAAAGACCCTTTCCAGGGCTCAGAGCCATGGCTAGAAAGAGAAGCACGCCAAATAAATTTCCATAGACTTCCAGGGAAGAGCCACTGACCATAAAGGTGGAAGGGTAGGAATAGTTTGGATTGGTCAAATGCTGGAAAGCAGTGCCTACATGTTGGTCTGTAGTGCAGACACACATTTTCTCAAGTTACAGTTCACCTCCAAAACTGTGCCTTCTGTATACTTTCTCTTGAGTGGAAGAAAACCAGGTGCACTCTGAAGTGAAGGAGTCAGTCGGGGAAGTTGAAGATGAAAGTAGGGAAAGCGGGAACTCCAGGCAAGAAGAAAGAAGGAGGTCCCTGGGGTGGCAGAAGGGGATCGGCTGTCTGCAGCGTGGACCACAGTGGCTCGGAAGACCCCAGAGAGCCTTGGCAGGAAGAGTGAGCTGGTGGGACATGGTGGATCTGGCTGCTGTCAAAGGAGACGCATTTAGTTGGCAAAGGGTCTGAAGAATTAAAATGAGAAGTTCCCTCATAAAACCTCAACAACAAAAATTAGGACAAGTGTTCATTCTGGGGAGTGAAGATGTATGAGACATGACATGATGTCCCAGGCAGTTCATGCATGGGTCATCTCTGCATGTAATACCTCATCCAGATACAGGAGCCATCTCCAGAGAGCACAGAGGAGGGGCACAGACAGATGTGTCTCCCGGGGACCGTACGAAGCAAGCCTACCAGATTCTCAGCTTCCGTAACACAGACAGCCTGAAGCTAAAATGTGAGAGGGGTTAAGTCTGTCACACAGAGATGAGGCATAAATGTCCAATTTATAATCAGAAAGGGATGGATGGATGGATGGATGGATGGATGAGGGAACGCTAGAGAAGGGAGACTAGGTAGAGAGCGCTAGGAACTGTCGCTGTGCTGTAGCAAACCTTACAGGACATTTGGCTCTAAACAATTGCATGTAGAACTTTCACACAAAAAACAACAGATGTGATAAAACAAAGGGTGGGGAGGGACAGTGGTGCCAGCAGCCAGGGGAGAGAAGGGCTTGTTCGGTGTCAAGGAGAGTAATAGTGAGGGCCCTGGCTCATTCACCAGGTTGTCACCAGCCTTCAATGCAGGCACCATGGCACTGGGTGTGTTGGTGAGCCCTGGGCTGTGCTGGGTAAAGTGGGCGCAGACTGCTTCTGTTGCTGGCTGGGCTTCCATGGAGGCAGCAAGAGCAGCATTTTTTTCTGCTCTGGTACATGTGTCTTCTGTGAATTATCAAAGCCATTCCTGCACGGGCGCAATGAATGGCCCACTTTTCCAGTTCCCTCAGTCACGGAATCCTGTGGACACCGGAGAGACAGATGCCAACTTTCAGAGCAGTGCCAGGGACAAGCCAGGCGGCAACTGTCACAGCGTAGATCAGCTCCTGGAACCACGTCACTAGGTTGCAGCAAACATTTTAAAATCTCCACGGAGCTTCTCTGGAGCAGCTCACCTGCCCTTAGGCTTCAGATCTACCCCAGAGAAAAGGCACTACCCAGTAATAAGGAGAACTTTTTAATTCACCAAGTTGATGTGTGATGCTGAACTCAAGTGCCAACTGATGGGGCATCTGGGTCACCGACTAAATGTGACTTGTGGTTGTGCCTGGAAGAGACCAGCACTGCACAGGAGATGGCCTTCCCTGGGGTGGATGGCTTCATCCAGCCCCCAGAGCCTGAATCCTGAATCCATCACGCAGACAAGAAGGGCCAAGTCGCTCTGCCGGAGCAGAGACGCCCCTTCGCCTGTCCCCGAGTCACTACCCCATCAGCTCCTCAGTAAGTGACATCACTCGCTCTCCTGGATCTCTGGCTTGGGCTTGCGGTGGCAGACCTGGGGCTTGTCACCCTTTGTAGCTAAGTGAGCCGAGTCCCACAGTAAACCTCTCCTTATACCTATGTGCATCGTTTTGGTTCCATTTCCCTGGAGAACCCTGACTACCACAGTTGAGTTACCTTACCACCCCTGAAAGCATAGGCTTGGCAAAGATTCCCCATCCTTTTCTCCCCTCCCACATGGTGCATAAACCCCTTTGCAACGTGGACATATGTACGGGCTTGAAGTTAAGCATTTCTGCACACACTGTGTGCAGGGTGATTCCATTGCATCAACAGCTGGATTTGCAACTCCTCCGCCGGGCTTGTGCCAGGCACTTCCATTGCACCCCACACCTGCAGAGGGTGTTGCTCTTCTCAACACACCTGGAAGCAGAATGCTTACACCACAACGGCAAGCCTGGGTTGACTGACAAGGATTTTTGTCTCCCTCCTTAGTGGACTTAGGCAAGCTACTTAGCGCCACCTTCTGAATATTCTGGACTTCCATTTCCTAATTTGACACCTGTTTATCAGACTGTTACACAAATTCCACTGGACAAGGTTCAAGGCCTTTGCTGTGTCTGGCTCCATCCAGGTGCCTGTTCCTCGCACCTCCAGGGAACTTGACTCTGAAACCACAAGTTCATTTTGTTCTATACACGCGGCGGTGAGCACTCTCCATCCTGGGAGGGTGATATTATGCATCTTCAGTAAATACAGGTGTCTCAGGGCATCATGGTGAGTTTGATAGTTTCCAAGCAGAAAATGCCACCTTGGTGTCAAAATAAGGTATTGTTAAAAAGCAGTTAGATTTGCTTTTCATAGTATTTGAATTGAGTCTCATTATTTCAACAGCCATCTCTCTCCCTGGGAGAAAAATGGCAAATGAGATTCTGCCCCTGCCCCTGGGCAGCTTCCCATGAGGCGGGGAAGGACCCATTCTAGGGGCCACATGAGGTCACTGCAGCCTTTGGGAGCTCCGGGGATGGGGGGCACCCCACCCTGTGCAGCCTGTGGGCAGGAAAACTTTGCTACTTGGTTCTGTCTGTGTTTTGCAGAACAACTCAGAATTCACCCAGGGAACAGAAACACGGGGCTCTGGGCAGAAAGGGCAATGGCGAGAGGCCTGGGTGTGTGGACTCTGCTTCCGTGAGCATGGGGGCGCCTTATCGTCCAGGGCGCTGTTCGTCTCTGTTCACTGATGGGTGGAAGCTTGAGAGGGAGGTGATTCAGTCTGCTGTGGGGAATGATCTTTCTGAAAGCCCTGCAAGGGCCGCGA